TTCCCCGTAAAATAGGTAGTTATTATCTCTCAAAAGAAAAGCCCACTAAGTCAAAACCTACGAAGGATACTTAAGAAAAAAAACTAGGGCATCCCGCTGACTATAAAACAGTCAGGCAAAAAATAGGGACAATAAATCAAAAAAAGGAGGTTGCTAAAGATCCTCAACAATAGAAAAATGTTGCAAAATGACTGCATTCTCCAATAAACTTAACCTCTCCGAACCATCACCAAAACGTCATTCCAGACTCAATTGGGATTCAAAACGCGCAATTAACTGAGTATAAGACTGAAGAGCATCACGAAGAGCGGGTTGAGTACATATACACTTTGAGCCTTATCCTTTGTTAATATGAATATTTATGCAGAAAATTCTTGGAAAATAATGTTGTAGAAGGAATTGAATTGTTTTGAAAATATTTGAAAGAGGAAATTTGAAAAGAGAAAAATCTACATTTTATAGTACCAAGAAACCTCTTGGAAACCATGACAATGATTTAGAAAATAACTTGAGTAATCATGCATTATTTTGGAAAATATGCAATGAGCAATTGCCATGAACATGTATAAAGAACATTCAGATTTTTTCAAAATTTCAAAAGTGACAATCAATTACACATCCCTTAGAATCAATTGCATTAAGAATAAAGTTCAAAAATATCAAAATTTGTCTTACGACAATCAATTGCACATCCCACTCAATCGATTCTTACAAGTTTGAATTTAAAAATTTCGTTGAAAATCGATTCTATCAATTTATACCTTATTTTTTGAACCCAAATACTATAAATGGTCAATTGGTATAAATGATCAATTTCGTTGTCCAAAGTGATACAATTCTAGATATGCTATAAACAATTTGTGTATCATGTATTTTAATTTATTTTTATATTATAAAAATATAAATATCAAACAAAAATTACTAGTTTGAAAAGACAATATGATTACATAATGTATTCTAATTAAAAATAAAGTTGAAATGAAGTTTAAAAAACACTGATATAATTTTTTATAAAAGAATAAAATTAGAACAAATAAGATATATAACAATTTATTAACTTATATAGATTATTTAGAAATCTTAATTTTGGGATGTCTAGATTAAAAATATAGGAATATGGCTTTTGATATTTGAATTATGCTTGTGCTGTTCAAATGACACTACAAGAGAACTGTTTTATCTATGGACATAGTTTAACCATCATTAGAAGTATACTTTTTTTATGTTATTGTTAATTATTATTATATTATTTTAATTTTACAAATACCAAAAAAAAAAACCCGGAGCTTTACCAAAAACAATGACTCGTAATTCGTTGTTTCTTGGACTTGATTTGCTCGAACCCTAAAATCGTTCAAATCGCTCAAACCCTAAAATCGTTCATCTTGATTTCAATTTCAACTGTTTCAGCTTCAGTCTAAATCACTCGAATCGTATCAATTGCTTAAACCTCAAAGTCAGATTCCAATCGCTTCAGCATCAATTGTTCGAATCGCTCTCAATAGTTCAAAAATTGTTCGTTTCAAGCACAAATTTCAGGTAGATACGATTTTTTTTCCATAAGTTCCCTTTTCAAAAATTTCGGAACTATCGGGTTTAGGTATCTTTCTCAACATTTTCTCTTTTCTCCTTCTCCATTGTCCATTGTAAAATCACCTATGTTTATTTAAATCATTTCACTGTTATGAATTGATTATCCTGTTTTGAGATTATCAAATTTAGGAATTGATCATTGACTGAAGCAGTATGCTATCTTAACAAGTAAACAAGATTTCCTCAGCTTATTTGCTTGCTCAGTTTGTAATCATTGTGGATTTGAAATCATGAAGTCGTGTTTTAGTGCATTTTCTAGTGTAATTTCCACTTAAAAATGGATTATTGGGAATTTCACAAATTTATAGGGTAAAAATATGTATAAAAGTCTTATAGTTAATTTCTTTTAGCTTAACTACTTATTTATTAACCTTTGGAAGTTTCTATTAATTTATGTTGCATACAGTGAATTGAGTTGAGTTGTTGATCAAATAGAAATTTAAGGGGACAATTAGTGTTTTGAGGATTAAAGGATATAGGGATTGAAATATTTCCAAGATCCAGAAGATTCTCTTTTGTGTATCACGTTAACGTTATCTTCTTTCCTTCTGCACTTCAGAGGCTTCTGCAAGCATGAGTTTAGAAGCGAGAACATAACACAAGGTCATCAGAACTTCAAGTCTTCAGAACTGCGTCTTTAGAGTCTTCAGCACTTGGTTGTAATAACCTTTCCTTGGAACCTTGGGTCTTTAGAACTTCTAGTCTTTAGAATCTTTAGAACTTCTGTTTTTAGAGTCTTCAGCACTTGGTCTTTTAGAACCCTTATCTTTAGAACCTTGGGTCTTTAGAAACTTGAGTCTTTATCATCTGGACTTGAGTAGAAATTTCTGTCTTCAGATCTTCTGGCTGTTTCTTTAGAACATGTTGTCTTCAGAAACATGAGTCTTCAGCATCTGGACGTAAGTAACAACTTCTGTCTTTAGATCTTCTGACTGGTTTTTTTAGACAAACATCAGAGCTTACACTTCAGAGCCTTCTAGAGTGTCTTTCTATTGTTCAACAAAACTTGTGTAGCGCAGAAGAGGAATTAACTCTCTTCTAATGTCTTGGCCACGCCATCTATCAGAAGCAGAACCTGTTTGTTAAGTACTCAACAATAACAAACATTAGAGTATCAAAATTGTTCATACAAACATACTCATTTGTTATCATCAAAACTCAGAGATAATATTGCAAAATTAAATCTTGTTCTTACAATGTTCTGTATTACCATAGTTGCATAATTCAACTGCAGTTTGAACTTATGTCTCTGAAATTAAGTTATTTTGTTCATATTCTACTGTATATATTATGGCAATGTAGAATCAAAAGCACTTTTAATCAAAATAACTCTCAAACTAATATTCAAACATGCTCTAAGTTCTAAGACTATTCAAATGCACTTTTAATCTCCTTTAATTATGTCATAGCATATGTCACACACACTTACAATTGTTATCTTCAGTTCATTGTGAGGGAGATATGGCAAAATCTGGAAATTTGGTATCCCAAAGAAGTTTTAGCCCAATATTCAATCCATGCCACACTGCTTCCAAGGGAAAAACCTTCAGATTTCTCTCTCTGTTTCACACTTACAATAATTCTAATGTTAGTGCAACTACTATCACAGCTTCTACCAAAAGAAAAGGCAACTTGCAATCTCCATTGGTAACTCTCTATTCACTCTTCACTCTCCTTCCTTAAAATCTGTCTTAAGATTTCATTTGTTTTTAATGTTCAAGATTGGGAAGAACCCGGGTAGGGCTTCCCGCCCTCTGATCACAATATCGCCGTCTGACGGGCAATATGGCGAGGAATGGACGCGTGATTATCTTGTAACTTTGCGAGACCTACATTTAGAGCATTTGATTGGAGCAGATGATGATCCGCGTAAGAATGCACAAGTATTCATCAACCTCTCCATCCAAAAGGTGCTTTCATCTCAAACATTTTATCTTGACTTGTCAGTGGAAATTCTAGAGATAAGTTGTGGTTTTTGTAACCAAAGGAAGTGCCACAAATGGTTAAGGATTCAAACTTTCACTTTCACTTTCTTATGAGTGAAACTTCAAATCCATCCATAATTACCAAATTTCAGTTCTCTCATGTTTCAAATTCACATCACTAGATTATGTTGATGATTTCACAATTAAAATTCATTGGATTCTACAACTTCAAAAATATATAAGTGGCTCCCATGAATTTTATCACTGAAATCATCAGCATATCACTATTTCTTAGCAAAAAAATGTGATTATAACAAAATAAGATTTTTTCTGCACTTACTATTTCATTTCTAATACTTTATGTTAATGACAAAGTATTAACTTTTCATTGTGTCTTCATTGACTAGAATTAATACTTCAAATTTTCAAATTTATTTGTATACTCACTTACCAACACTTGTAAATGGTAATGTCAGCATGTTGGCTTTGGCTATTCAATAGATGCAAGAATCACCACATCCTTCACTTCAAAATGCTGCAACTGTTCTTCTCCATATTGCAGACAGGTATTTCCTTTCATTATGAACTCATAGTAGTGGCTTGGTTTGAGATTTATCACATACCTTGACAATAAAATCTTGGTTCTGACTTTGTGGCTTGATCAATGATTCCAGCTCGATATAGAATTTAACCTATGTGTTCTCAAGGCTCCAAGTAGAGTTAAAAGTAAGAGACCGCTACCTGAAATTGGAGGCGACCCTTATGTGAGTACTTCTCTAGATCAGATAGTTTCATTGTTTTTCCGCACATAGATAGAAATTACTTTCAAATATTTCTTTGATTCAGATAACTTGCTCAATAATCTAACACACCTTCTTCATATAATACAGGTGATATATACTAGACCCGGATGTCAAATTGATCTTGATTCTTTTGTACATGATGCCATCAGCCTAGACTCATCAGTAAAAGTATATTTAGCAGAATTTCAATTTGAGATTTTACATGTTACAAAATTTTGATTTTGGGAGTCCCCATAACTTTTAAAAAAAAAAATTCTTTTGCAGCACACTTGCTCGGAGTTGTGCGAGAAACCTCAGGGTACTATACTATGTAAGCGTTTCTTTTAACAGAAAACTTCATGGAAACTAGCAAAGTTACTGTAATTCAAGGATGCAATACAACAAGAACAAAGCAACATTGAAAATGAAAAATTCAAGAATAACTTATCCACAGCTGTTTTGTTTTTCAGATGCAACTGGGCAAAGTGAGGCTTCCTTTGATAAAACATGGTCAAAACTATTGGAACTAAAGAAGAAGCTTTTATGATTCATGACATTAAATACAAAGAAGTTTCATGTTTAGAATAATCATCAGATTGCAAATAGATTGTATGCATAATAATACATTGATGAACAATATCCTGGTACTTCCAGTTGGTAATTGTAATTGTCACCAATCATGGCAAAAAAGTTAATACTTTCAACTATCATCCATACTGAGTACGAGCCGAGCTTTCAACGAACACCATCCACAAGGAAGAAGAATCACCGATCCTGGTAAAGTATCAGCATTGCGTATAGACACGCTGCTTTCATCTCTCAACAACATATATCCAATTTTCTGCAATTCCAACGAGTCCACAGAGAAGTAATCACAACATCGACGTTGATAAAACAGTTCCAATATTTCGCCAGCATCTTCAACTGTTATATCATGTAAGCTTAATTTTGGGCAACTTCTGAAGCCAATAAATCCTCTCGCTTTGAATTTTGCAGCTTCTTGTCGTAAATTAAACGAGAGGTTGGATTGCTTAGAATTTTCCATGCATTTTGTACTTTGAGAAATCTCTCAGCATTTTTGGTTACGGCTTGATGTGTTCAAGAGTTTATCAAGCAACTAGCACGAATCTCTTGGTAGTTTGCATCCTCCTTGACATTGAGAACCTCATAACGAGTTTCCGCAATCTCTTTCTTATCCAAAATCATTTTTGGCAGTTGTATAATCGGCAAGGGTGCAATGCAATGCAAGTTTATCTGCATTCAGAAGAGAATAATTAGAAACAATACACTGATCACACTCATGCAAGAAATACTTAGATGATTTCCATCAAAATTACTACGAGGATTTCTACCTTCACCAAATCAAAATGAAAGGATTATAGTAATTGAGCAATCGAAAAAAAAAAAAAAAACTTTCAGTTTATGATCTAGATGGTTGTTCTCTCAATTGTATAATTGATTGAAAAATAATAATTAGCTACATAATCCCTCCAAGTCAAAATAAATGTCGTTTAAGGTTTTTGCACACAAATTAATGAATATAATAATGTTGTCAAAAGATATTGCATTTTTATTAAATTAATCTTATAAATGTGTTGAAAGTAATGTAAAGTGTAATAATTAAATAACAATCATTTATGCATTGAAAAGTGAGAATGTCATTCATTTTGAAATAAATTTTATTTGTTAAAACGACACTCAATTTAAAACAAGGAGTAATAAATAAAATAGTAATAACAAAAGAGGATTTCATTCAATTAGGTTTTTGGCTTAATTATAACTTTGATCCCTCTATTTTGTATTTTGGTCCCCTCATTTTTAAAAGTACTATTTTAGTCCCTTTTTAAGTTTTCTGTGAAGTTTTCGTCTTTCTATTTTGCTTTTTTCTACAATTTTAGTCCTTATTTTTGTTCATTTTTCAACAGAAAACTCAAAAGACGGACCAAAATCGTGGTTTTTTAAAATGGAAGGACCAAAATAAAAAAAAATTACAAAACATAAGGACTAAAACTACAATTAAACCTAGGTTTTTTTTACCTGGCCGGGGTTGGTGTAGATTTGAAAAACACATAGGAAAATGTATGATAAGGGTTCGCTTCACACAAGGACGAGAAAATGATTTGTTGGATTCGAATTCACGATTTGTACTATTTCAAAGATAGTTTGGTTAACCAAATCACATTTTAATCAAGTTAACAAAACCTGTTTTTAAGTGTTTTTCGTGTTTTTTTTCATTATTAATAAGATCCTGTACATTAATGAAATTATGAAAATTAATAAGAGATGAAGTCATTTATCCTAAAACATGAACAATTTCATTAGTTTGTCTTTTAATAAACTTAACATGAGAATTTTTAAAGAAAAATACTAATAAGTGATTACATTCAAAACTATGCTTTTAACATCCCTGTAAAAATTCATACTATGAAAACCAAGATCATGTATCCTTTTAATAGATGACAAGAGGCCTAAAACTTTCCCTATATCAACATCAGTGATATGGAAAAACACCCAGTCTGAGCTGCAACCAAATATCCTTCATCGTCTCAAATGCAAGCACATATTCCTACCTTATTATTAGAGAAGGATGTGTCGATGTTGCATTTGAGACGTCCCGCCGAAGGTTTACTCCACATAATATCCTTAGACCTTTGAATTTGGTTATTTTTGTTCGATTGAAGTTGTTGGACAATTCCTCCATGCTAATAACAAATAAGAAACATGATTAAAAATAGTGTTTGGAGAGTCTTCTACGAGGTTCCAGATTTGATGGTTCCTACATTTCCATATACTCCACAAAATGGTTGAGAACACTGTTGTTGATCTTGATTCGAGACCTGTATAAAGGAAAACTATTGTAGTAAAAGCGGTGATGTCATTTAGTAATTACACATAGACCATAAATCCACTTTTTCCTAGCACTCAATACTCTTTGGACAATGTAAAACTAAATGCATAACATCTTCCGCTCCTTCACAACAAACACCATAATGAGTATGACATTGATCACCTTTGTATATTAATCGTATTCTGGTTGGCATACAATTCATGCATAAATGTCACATAAATTTTTTAACCCTCGAAGGGGTCTTGATTTTCCAAAACAGCTCTCACTTCTCATTAATCTTAAGATTCGAGGTATCAATAGCCTCTTTTATACAACAACGATAAACATTGTGAACTAAAAACTTTTCATTCTTTTCAAACTTTCATACTAACTTATCAACGTGAACTGCTTCAACCAATGGAGTATTGAGAACCTTTGTTGCCTCTCCTCCCCCGATAAGTGTAAGTACAATTTAAGTTTCAATGTTTAGCATTACTATTCAACATATCCGAAACTTTTAGATTATCCATTATTGGGTTAGTCGGCCAAGGATTATCCAATGAAGTGCTATCATATAACCAATTTTGGCCCCATGGAAGGATATTCTCTCGATAAAATACTCCACTTATACCCATCCCTCACCATAAATTTTGAACTCCAAATACTCCTCCACACATAACTAGAGTTGTGCCCGATAACCGAATCTAAAAAATCACACTTTGAAAAATACTTAGCCTTGTAGAGACAAGTGACTAAGTTATATGGATTTGTCATTAAGCTCTAAGCTTGTTGTCTAAGCATAGTATAATTGAAGACACCTAGATTTTTGAACCTCATGTCGTGGATCTATGTGTGCAGGGATGAAGGTGAAAATCCTGTAGAAGATTCATCTGATGTATTGATTACGACAACGACAATTAAAGTCAGTGACAATAATCTTTCAACCATGATGATGGTCTAACCAAGATGTGTCTAACCAAAATATCTCATGCGTCGTCAACAAAAGGAGACTCGAGATCAAAAGTGCTTATATGATCAGAAGCAATCTAGCAAAGAATCTTAAAGCCTCCAATAAAGTATGAAAACATACCATGTCATGTCTGTCTATCTGTCAGAGTGACTAGAGAATTGTAAAAGTAAGAGAGTAATTTAGAAGCACTAAGACAACTCATGCACACCTAAAAATATCTTCTCAAATGTTTTTATCATGAACATTATTTTCTAAGTCAAGGCAAGTGATTAAAAAGTTGTCCAAAGCTTTTCCAAACTGTTTTTAACTAACCAATCAATTGGTAAGTTGTGTCAATCGATTGGAAAAACTTTTATGAGCCAACCAATAGATCGGAGAATTAAGAAAATCGATTGGATAAGAGCTAATTGATTATAAAATAACTTATGACATTATATTAATGACTTGCAACAACTCCATATCCAATATTTCCTTTTTAGGTTTGCTAATCGATTAAAATAGAGTTGGCCAATCGATTCGAGCTTTATGCCAATCGACTGGTCCATGTATGCCCGAGCTTTTTCGAGGAGGGCGTCGAATGTCCTAGGTGGCTCGATACCCACGGCCTTTCTGAATTCCGTGCCAGGGAGGAGCCCCCTCTCCAGCAGATATCTCTTCATATGGTCCGCGCAGGGGACCTATATAGCTTCCCGGTTGAAGCGATTGATGAACTCCCTCAAGGTTTCATCCTGTCTTTAGATGATGGCCTCAAGAGCCGCCTCGGTCTTTGGATGCCGCCGAGAAGCTGTGAATGAACTGATGAACTGGTTCTTCAGGTTTCGCCACGAAGTGATTGAGCCCGGGGCGAGTCCTTTGTACCAGTCCATTGCTGCCTTCCTGAGAGTCGTGGGGAATAGCCGGCATTTGATGGGCCCCCCGATATTGTGGTAATGCAGCATAGCCTCGAACCCGTCTATGTGGTCGACCGGGTCCGCGACTCCATCGTACTTCTTCAAGTGCGGGGGTTTCTCCATGCCCGGGGGGATGGGTGCTTCCATGATAGCTTGCGACAGGGGACCGCGGGGGTCGTCCTCGTCGCTCCTCTCCGGAGACAGAGATGGGGACCTGTAATACTGTCGGGCACGACGGTCCTGGTCGTGCTGAGTCTCTCTCGAGCGTGATGCTCGTTGGTTGAATCTTACACGCCCGTCTCTGGAGTGCCTTCTTTCCTGTCTCGTCGGGTCGCGACTAGGTCCTCCGGCTTGGATGATGGGCTGCCTCTCCAGATGGGGCCGTTTCCCCTTTGGTCGGGGTGACTGGCTTCGAGAGGTTTCTCTGTAATGTCTCCGCGGGGGAGACGGGAGTTGGACTTCAGTCACTCGAGGAGGTGGAGTATGGGGCCTCCGATGCCTCCTCGGGGGTCTTCGGTCATCTTTAAGCGCCCTTAGTCTTTCCCCTTGGGCGAAGATGAGATAGTTTGTTTGATTAATCGCTGCGAACAACGCTTGAGTTGTGGCATCCGCCCCGGCGGGGACGGGGACTTCCTGGAACCGGGCCGCCCGGTAGTTCGCGAGAGATGCCTCGTCGTCTTCGAGTGGTGGAGGGACCGAGGAAGACGAAGCAGTAGCTCCGTCGCGGTAGGTTGAAGGTCCGGGGGCATTTGACGCAGGGATGGTGTTGTGACCGGGGTTGTCGGTGTTGTCAAGGTGTCCGTTTTTGTCCGCGGGGCCGTTGTTGGTGTCGACGACGCGGACGTTCTATTCATCGCGAGCTTGATCAGCCATGATAGCGGTAGTTGAGTTTGAGCTTTGGTCTTTGAGTTTTGCAAGACGGGGAAGCTAGTTTCCCACAGACGGCGCCACTGATCTAACCTGATCAGACTTGGACCGTCACGGCTGGCTCCGAGCTGAAGTTTTGAACGAGGTGGGGGGGGGGGGGGGTACCTGCAAGGCACTCCGATGCTGAAGTAAGTAAGAGCACGAGCAGGCAAGAGTATGAGTATGGGTAAAAGAATGAATACCTGACCCTCTGGGAACAGAGGGTATTTATAGCCCCCAGCGCTGGGCCAAGGTTCCTTCATTGGGCCGGGCAGGTTTGGCCCAATGGAGGAACTGCCAGGTTCTACGTGCGTAGTGGGGAACCGCACGTGGTCCCCTTCCTGGATGTTCTGCGTGAAGTACGGACGGACGAGGACGCGGTCTTTTCGGGATCCAGGTGATGGCGTAGTGGATAGAGTCTACCCTAGGAGGAATGCTCGAGCTGAGGTCGAGCAGGATAGCATGGAGTCGAGGATGTCGCACTAGCAGAGAATGCCGGGCACGGATATGGCCTTTTGGTCAGCGTGACCCCTTGCAAGACCATTTGGATTGGGCCTTCACCATTGCTTTTGGGCCAGCCCAGCCCAGTCCAGAACAATATATATATTATTGC